GAATTAAAGTGGCTTCACGGTTTACTAAAAAGTCTTGGTGTTCATCATTCTCAACCAATGCGCCTTTATTGTGATAGCCAAGCTGCACTACACATTGCTGCCAATCCGGTTTTCCATAAGCGCACCAAGCACATCGAAGTTGATTGCCATTTTCTTCGGGATGCCCTTGTCCAGGTTCTCATCTCTGCATCGCATGTCTCCACTCATTCACAGCTCGCAGATATATTTACAAAGGCATTAGACAAGCGCGAGTTTGATCACTTTCTTGGCAAGTTGGGCATTCGGAATCCTCATGCTCCAACTTGAGGGGGGGTGTTAGCATATTGGTATATTTCGGGTTGTATATTTGTTAGTATATTTTTCTAGTAGTAGGTGACTTGCTTGACAAGTAATTCCTTTTAAGTAATCTAGGTATTGTTGTGTATATATAGCTGATATAATAATATGAAGACACCACAATGGGGTGTGCCATCTTCCCATATCTTTTCAATATTTCACGAACTTAACAGAGGGCATCCCCCTGACCAGTACCGCATCACCTTAGCCGGTAAACAGGTGGACGACGGCCGGACCCTCGCCGATTACAACATCCAGAAGGAGTCCACCCTCCACCTCGTCCTCTGATATGTATATCTGCAGTAATTACAAGCTGAAATTCGTGCATCCTGCGGAGGTGAAGTAGGAAATGAAAATATTAACATTGAGCTTTTTTTTTTTTTTTTTTTTTTCCTCATATTGAAATAGTCCGTGTCATTTTTTTAGCATTCAACTGGTGTAACTTTCGAAGACGGCCATTTTCCCATAATATTGAAGCAACTTTGGACTTTTGAGGAAGCCCATTACCTCCATTTCTGGGAGCCCAATTACGTTTTATCAAACCCAATGTTGTGGATTTTTAGTGGTCAAAATGAAGGGGGGAAAAAAAAAGATGGTATAAAATTTTAGGGGCATTCCGAGAATTGAACTCGGGACCTCTCGCACCCTAAGCGAGAATCATACCACTAGACCAAATGCCCGACTTTGGCAATCTAAGTTTGCTTAGATTAGTTACATCAATACATTAGTGAAAAATGTGTACCAATGGATATTATATATATAAAGTATATGGGCTGGATGGCTAATGGTGCCCTCCCTTCCATTTGGGCCCCGGGCCGTAGCCCATGTTGCTCTGGGCCAGGGCCAGCCCTGATTAAAAGCAATTTTAAATTATTTTAATATCATAATCAAATAACTTTAAAAGCTTATAAACAATTATTTTTTAATAATAATAATAACTAGTACAACACCCGTGTATTATACGGGTGCTTGTTAAAAAATTATTCTTAAATTTTAAAATTAATGAGAAAACTTAAAAAATTATTCTTAAATTTTAAAGTTAATGAGAGAATTATATCAAATTTAGTTTATTTTTTATGAGAAAAATAAACTATATTAAAACTATATTAATGAGAAAAATTAATACATATAACATGACCATAAATAATTAACATATTTATGGTAATGCGGACCTAATTATTTTTGGTTTGGAATTAAATTAAAACTTATCCAAGCCTGAATCATGTAATTTTGCCACATAGGATTTCGAAGCACCAGAAGCAGCCACGTAGGCTCAACGCGTTCTGATTTAATATATAGGGGATAATCAAACTGTTAGTATCTAATGATAATAAATAATTATTCATAATAATAAAATTATTAATTTATTTTCATGATCGAATTTTTGAAAATGTAATATGTTCATTATTAAGAATTTTAATATTAAATTCTTAATTATTATTTATAATATTTTATGTATATATGCATATGTACTAGTATTCTTTAATAATGGTATGGTGGTGTATTCATTGAAAATTTTGAATGACATTTTAAAATGCAAGAGAACGTTACTAACTAACATACGCTTTTCGCCTCCATTCGAAAATCGTTCTTCTTATCTGTTCCTATCGTTTCCAAAGAAAAACCCAAAACCCTCTACAAACCCTAATTAGAAAAAAACTCAGATCCACTCTACTCCCAAAACCCTCCGCCATGAATCTTCTAGCCAGAGCAAAAATGTCGTCGCATCTGATATCTTCTTCCAACTCTCCGGTAACGCGCCTCCTCAATCTGCGCCCCCAAACCGCCTTCCTCCTACAATGCGAGCGCTATTCCACCAAAACTACGATGCCCGGCGCCAGCCAGAAGCCGTCCAAGACCAAGGCCCAGAAACCCTCCGCGCCGCCGTCGACGACCTTCTCGCAGAGGATCCGGAAGCAGACGGAGGCGCTGACCGGCGTGTGGCCCAAGCCGGGCGAGATGCCGTACCAGGCGAAAGTCACCAACTTTGTGAACCTGATCGGCCGGGTCGGGCTCCCCATCCGGTTCGAGTCAGACGCCGAAGGAAAGCATCTCGCCGCCACCGTGATTTCTCTTCTGAACGGAGGCGCGAGGACCCCCCTGACGATCCCCGTCGTGTTCGAGGGCGTCCTGGCCCACTCTGTGTCGTGCCACGTCCGCGAGAATGACCTTGTTTTCGTGTCGGGCCACCTGAGCGTGGATCCCACGGGGGTGCTCCCTGGCGAGAGCCTGGGGAAATTTCACGTCGTGGCTGAGAATATCAACTTCGTTGAGGGGTTTAAGGGTAGTAGTAGTTCATCTGAGATGGAAATTGGTGAGTTCAGTGTGAATGAGGCTAAAGTGTATGATGAAATTTCCGAAAGAGTGGATAATGATGTTGATGATGATGGTAATGATAATAAGAATGAGGATATCGAGCAGCCCCCAAAGCCTACAGCAAATTTGGAAAGTGCAGATGGTGGTGAGTCGGGTCTAAAAAAGGGTGATGGGAAGAAAAAAGAGGCAGATAAAAGCATGGAGCTTTGGAGGGATCTCGTGAAGAACCCACTGCAATGGTATGATTATCGCGAGCAAAAGAAAAACAGGTCGGTAAAAGAAAAGCATCCGGATTTCAAGCAGAAGGTGACCGGAGAAGCTCTCTGGATTAGCTCTGCTCCCAAGTGGATCCTGCCCGGGCTCGGAAAATTGGAGTTTGACGTGATAAAGCCGAAGAATGTGAAGGATAGCTCGATTGATGATTCTTGGAAGGATGTGGTTGAAAATCCCGACAATTGGTGGGATTGTAGGGCCAACAAGAAAAACCCTAAAGCACCAGATTTTAAGCATAAGAAAACAGGTGATGCTTTGTGGTTGAACAGGGCTCCCGGTTGGGTTCCGTCTAAGCTTCCGCCTGTAAGAGATTAGGTTTATTGGAAATGGTAGTAATTGGAAGAATGTGGTGACATTTTAATAGAATGTGTTTATGTGCTGTTTCAAATCTTTTAAGGTACTGAGTATTTTGTTGGCCCGTTGAACTTCAGTTTGAGCAAGAAAAGGAGAAAGCTGACTTAACAATGTTTGAACTTGTTAGTGGTTTTGGTTTGTTTGTTTTTCTCCATTCGTATGTTTTTAGTTGGACTCGGTTGTACCTTCTCGGGATTTTTCTTCTGTTTTATATGTGCAGTTGTATTTTGTCATTTTATGAGAACATCTTCATTATGTGTTTTATGCACCTTTATTTAGTGGAGGTAGAAGAAATGTTTTGATTCTCTCAATTTAGCATATGTTTGGATGGCTTCTATTTGAGTTTGTTGTATAGCGTAAACTCTCTCAGGTTTCAGTTACAAAATATGATATTTCAAGACAGGGATAAATATATTCAGTACAAGTTCTTGCGTTAGTCATGTCAAACGGTTAGATGTTCGAACAAAATTTCTCCCTCACTGAAGACAATAGTCCTCGAACAGCAGCTTTGGTGAAATTGCTGAGGCATGTCTAACGGTTAGATGTTCGAACAAAATTTCTCCCTCACTGAAGACAATAGTCCTCGAACAGCAGCTTTGGTGAAATTGCTGAAAACCGAACCTTTTAACGCGTATCATGTACTTATTTCCTCTGCTTTCGGACAAAATGTTTTTATTATAAATGTATATATTTGAAAAAACAAAAATTGTTTGAATAACAAACCATGGATACATTTTGATTCTAACTTGCTTTTCTTTATATTCCACACTTTAGGTGAATGCATAACATCACAACAACCATTTGGTGCAGAAAGCAACTTTATATTACACAGCATTTCTTACACTTAAAGGTAAGAAGACCCTGCAAAGTGAAGCCTCACCAATGTATTTAGTTCTAAATTCTAATCACAAAACACAAACAACTATAGTCTATATAGCCACCTTCATTTCATCGACTGCATGAAAAATTTATTAACCGTCACTTTATCTTAACGTTCAAAATCAAATCTTCGTGCAGGTAATAAGATTTTCTTGGGGGTTTTTTTATTTTTTTAAAGTCATGGGATCCACAGAGAGATCATCAAGAAAGAAGGTGCAGCAGATATGGAAGAAAGCCATATTTCATTTCCTTCTTTGTTTCGTGATGGGTTTTTTCACCGGCTTTGCCCCCATCAGCAAAACCTCCGTTTTCTCGAGCCACGTCACAATGTCACTCTCGTCGAGCTACTCGCCCGAACCAGTCGAGCTTTTGCTTCATGAACAACCAGAAATAACGCAGCAGAACGCCAACAGAAGCCTGATGGACGAACCGGAATCGGAAAAAAACAAGGACACGAAAGCCCCTGAAGTAGAAAACGAAAAAAAATTCGAAACTTTGGAAAAAGACTCGAAAAGGCTCTTAATCGTGGTCACACCAACTAGCTCGAAGAATAAGCTAAGAGTCTTGCTGCTGAGTAGGCTGGCTAACACGCTTCGTCTGGTGACTCAGCCGATGTTGTGGATTGTGGTCGAAAAGCAATCCGATGATCCTAAGGTTTCGGAGATGTTAAGGAAAACGGGGATTATGTACAGACACGTCGTTTTTAAGGAGAATTTCACCGATCTGAGTTCCGAAATGGATCATCAGAGGAACATTGCATTGAACCACATTGAACATCACAGGCTGAGTGGGATAGTTCATTTCGCGGGGCTTTCGAACGTTTATGATCTCGGTTTCTTCGAGGAGATCCGAGCAATCGAGTAAGTAATTTTTTTAAATATGCAGCTCATAAAGCTTTTTTTTTTGGGTACTCAAAAGCTTATGGGAATTTTCAGGGCATTTGGGGCTTGGCCTATAGCTAGACTCTCTGCAAACAGGAAGAGAGTGATAATCGAGGGACCGGTTTGTGATTCCTCGGAAGTTATGGGGTGGCATTTGAGAAAGATGAATAATTCAACAGATGGCAGTAGTACTACTACTACTATGCCTCTCCATATCTCGAGCTTTGCTTTTAATAGCTCGATTCTTTGGGATCCTGAGAGATGGGGTCGAACTTCCTCCGTTCAAGATACCTCACAGGTATGCATCTAGAGCTCTAAACGAGTCGAACAAAACTCTCGAGCTCGGGATTGAGCCTTTATTATCGAGCCGAACTATTAATTAATCGAGCTGAAAAACGAGATTAGCCTCGGCTCGAGCCTTAACGGGTCGATCTAACCTAATAATTCAAGAAATTTCGTAAAAAAAAAAAAAAAAAAAAACTATTGTTTTAGTCTAATGAGCCGAGACTCGGCACCTAAATTAAACTAACTCTGATAAACAAGTCGAGTCGAACTCAAACTTTAACCAACTTTATGCATGATAAACTATTTTTTTTTTTTTGGGTTCTACTGTAGGATTCACTCAGATTTGTGAGGAAAGAAGTTCTTGAAGAGGAAGCAAACTTGAAGGGAGTTCCAGCTATGGATTGCTCCAAGATTCTGATGTGGGATCTCAGGATTCCTAAGACACAATAGAAGAAGATTATCCCCCCATCAAATAATGTCATTAAGAAAAATACTTGGAGAAAATAATGAGAAGAGAGTTGATACAATCCTTTTTCAACCACCCATATTCCATTTTGTTTAATTAATACAAATATTCTTGTATGAGATGGTCTAACCATTAGACTCGTAGACTGGTATTTTGTTTTTATTTTTTATTTTTTATTTTGGCTAAAATATGTATATATTACGAAACGTCATGTTCTTTTGTCCGTGTTGTTTTTAGAGACACTGCATGAAATACGACAACTATACGTGACAATTAGGAAACACGTTAGGAAAAACAAATGACACGATGAACATCACACGTTAGGAAAAACAAATGACACGATGAACAAGACACGAGGTAACTCGAGATATACAAAATAAATAATTTAGTTAAATTTAGTCTTTTAATTGTAGTTATGGCTTAAATTAGTTACGTTATAGGTGTCATGTCTTTTTTTTTTTTTT